AGTACCTCTAACCACTGTGGCCCCTAACCGCTGTATTATACGTTACCATCTCATTTATGTATTACATCTGTGAAACATTTCCCTTCCTGTTTTGGTCTATGTGAAATGACTGAACATGAACGATAGCGATAACGATGAAATCTTTCTGTCCAGGAATCTACTGTGCGCCAATTTTCTGAACGTGCCGTCTTCATTGCGAAGAACTGCCTCTGTTTTCTGTTATCTACATTGAATAGACGTTACTTTACCGACTGAAAGAGGTTTTTGTGAGAATTGCGGCGGCAGTCTTTCGTAGCGGTTATGACCTTGTCGCATATCCAGTTACAGTATCGATTCGACGACACGCCTCCTCCACTTTCCAAGGTTCTTCGCTGTTCGCCAGACAAACCTCTCGTGTACTTGGTTGTCGGTCGAATGCGAGTCGCTATCGACGACACACCCGACCTCCGTCATCCGTAAATTTGTGGACGAATGTTCCTGTGTCAAAGCGTTTGACCTCATTATCGTAACCGATCTTCCCGCTACGACCGCATGACGAGCGCGCGTTCGCCATTCTATCCGTTCGTCAGTGATTTATTCAATGCTTTGATTTTCACGACTATTCATCCCACCTTTGCGACAACGTGTGCTTTATTCCCTACATTTATGTTCTGGAAAAACGTCTTTTAATATCCTTGTTAAGAATAGGGCGGATGTTATGATAAAGCATTAACTCAGTCCATTTTTCAGTCGGTTCTAAGAGAAGTTAACTTTCTTTGTTAGTTCATCTAAAGAATTTAACCTTTCGTTCTACAGTAACCGGCGAAAACTTCCTTACAATACTACGCTCATATCAGTGGTTTTCTCACATCTCGTTGCATTGACCTTTTTTTCCGTTCACTTCTAACTCACTAAAGGACAGGTCATCAACATCAACATCCATCAACAACTGCAAAACTAATGGGACACATAATGGTGTTATCAGAAATGCAATTAAAAGCACTTCCAGATTTCCTCCAAAAGAAAAGTGGGTTGTCTATTTTTGTAGGGGAAATCTTCATAAGTCCTGTTTCTCTTCTGCTCATCAATTGAGGTTTTTCAGCTACATACTTTTTCGTCAGCTTTATAGTAATGAAATTACTTGGGTACTTGGATGGCGGCCCGTCCTCACTGATTGTGTGGACCTCAGCGTAATCTCCATTTTTTGGGAGATTTGCTGGCTTAGTCATTGTGGTTTCTGCCCCAGGTCCTCGCCACTACAGGCACTTAGAGCCCTTGTGAATAAGAGAGAGAACAGCCACTATGCAACTAACTTGGTACCAAGACGTTGGTGGATCCCGGTATTGGTTTATTCTTAGCTAGGCTTCCTGATGGAAACGCCGGTTTTTTTCTCAGCTTGGAAGACTCTGCCAAGGTGATGAATTCCACTCGCTTTACATCGCAGCCCGACACACAGGAACACATCCCAGCCACCGCATAGCGGTAAACTGTTGGGAGGAGTAATGAAATTTCTAAGTAAAAAAAATAGACTACGAAAATATGAGTCGATTAGACACAGTTTATTCAATGTTTGAACTCACCAAATAAGTTAAATAGCGCTAATTGATGAGCGAGGGACGAGTCGAATGTATTTGAAGTACTATTGTACCTATTGTGTAAGTGGCATTACCCAACCGTGTGAACTCTGCGCGGTTGGTCTCCACGTGAAATACTCCGGGGAAGACTCATAGGAAGAGGCTGTGCAGAGGGCAAAATTTGCGAAAACGTCAACTTTTGTGAAAAGAGTATAACAACAACTTCGTGTGTGGTAATCAAGAAAACAGCGAGTTATTTGTCAATGCCGACGGGGTTAATGGAATGTTGGTCTTCGGAATTACTATTGTATTTCTCTCATCGCACACTCCCCGAAGTGACATTTGTATTGAAATCCTAGCAAAATAATGGTATACTTTATAGACTGTAGTATTTTCGATGTTACTGAACTAGCAAAATAATCACAGAACGTGAACTTCGTTCGAAAAATTGAATCCACGATGTCGACTTCGGTTCTGGAATTCTCCACAGCATTGCTGATTCCTGAAGCATATCATTCTGGTTTCAGAAAACCATAGCTACTATTTATTTTTAAAACGAAAAATGGCTGCTTGCTTGAAGTTAAATGAGTCTTTCTTTTAGCATCTTATTTCTCGTTTTCTCACACCTATGATTCACTCCACCTTCAATTCTATACTTTTCTCTCTATCATGGTTTTGTTGTGATATGATTAGAATCATATCGTCATCATCTGAACCATCAAGATAAGTGCTTAATACCCAGTTCTCGTGCGTTAGTTCTCCTAGCAGTGCTTCCTGGGCGATGTCGTTGAGTATGTGGTAGAACGGTCGTCAAGTGTCATCTGTTGAGAAAGTGAATGGGCGAATCGTGATCGAGTTCCCCACAAACGCACAGTGCAACTGGTTGGTCACGCTCCGACAACTCTTCTTCTTTCTCACCAACCCTCATGCTCACGCAATATGTTCCGGTTAAAACTAATTCGAAGTAACATGGAGAAACACTGAAGGTCACTCTCACAATAGAATCTCCCATTCTCCCAGAGATAAGTAAGCAAATAATCAATCACAAAATGGTTTTTGGTTCGAGTCTATCTATGCGAATTTGGAGATTGAAGTTTAGCTTACTGACCACAAATAAAATAGTTGACATGGATTTGTAAATAAGTACGGGAGAAATAGCTACTAATGTATTTATCTTGCTACATTATGAATTCATATCGTGTAGTATCGGTAGCGCAGTGGTAGTGATGCCGTTCAATAAGCCTACGGCGCTAGTACGATCCATCTCCAAGTCAGCAAAATCTTAGGGCCATCTGAGAAATGGGCACCACACTTGTCTGAGTTGTATCAAGCATCTGTCCTGAATAATGGATACCGTACCTTGTTGTATTTGGTAGGTTTACCAAGAGCTACCGAGAATCCTTGGTTTTCCGATGAACCCCTTGTTTTTTCAGACACTTCTTTTTTAAATTAATGTAAACTAAAACGACTGGTGTATGTTCATTCAGTAAAATTTCAGTAGGAAGAAAAATGAAGCCAATGGTTTTTCTCCGTTGAAAATTTCTTTGACCGATTTGTCACGTTAACATTAGTCTCTTGAAATTTCAAATTTTCGTAACTAAGGACATTTGTGGTGTCAATATCTAACACAACCATAGAAAAGAAAAGAGAAGAGACTCCCTAGAAGCCTGTAGAATTTCATTGAAGATGTCATTCGACGATACAAGCCTCCTTTATTAGCAGGATAATTTTCGAGTCTTCATTGAGATGCATTCACCTTATAATCTGTGTTCATTCATGAACTTTTTCTCGACATTGAAGACCAGAAATGTGGTGGTCTTCTTCAAATATCTCCTGGATTGGTGCTGGATTTCACAGCACGAGTGAGTAAAAACGTCCAGCAAATACTTCGCTGCTTCGATCGGACACGATCTTAATGGATTCACAAGAAAAACAAGAAAATTGCGAATATTTCAGTTATAATGATGTTGATATATTTACAAAACTCCAGACCGCATGTGTCTGCGGAGGGGATCGAACTCGTTATTACCTTTTCGGGTTCGGGCACCTCACGTGTTCACCGCTACACCATGTGTGTTCTTCGTTTTGCCTTTCTCTCAGCCAGTTTTCTATGTAACAGTGCCGTCGTCAACCACCTTCAGAGGGATTGATCTGGGGAGCACAATTCGGGATTTAATCCAGTTAACCTGAGGCTGCAATCGAAATCACAATGTTAACCTTCTATTTACTCTCTACTACAATTTTCCTACGGTTGGGTATTATTACAGCATAGTAGTATTAGCCCTTGGAAAGTGCAATACCGAGTTCGATCACGGACACATGGGGTCCGGAGTTTTGCAAATGTCTCAGCATCATTGTGGTCGCATTTCACATAGTACCCTGCTATGAAAAATTCTACCAGGCAGTAAATAAAAAGTTAACATTGTGATTTCAGTCATATTTTTGCAGTAATACTTATGTTATGAGGCGGATATCACTGTGGTAGTGTTGTCCGTCATCAAGAGCACGGTACTAATTCGATTCCGCACTGGGCCACCCAAGCCTCTTATCCCTTCGGGGTAGGAAAATTGGTACCGGGCTTGTCTGGGAAAAAATCACTCTCTGCAATCTATTTGGGAACGCTCCAGCCTGGATATCTCAGGACCCCAGAGAGAATCGCTCGACCAGAATTCTACGACATTCAAGACGAAATGAAAATTCTTAAGCAGCAGCCGAAGCCACACGTAAAAGTTGGAAGATCTTCGTGGACAGTGATGCGAGGAAACGAATTGAATGTGAGAAGTGCTGAGATCCGCGCAGTAGAGGTGAGAACGTGTCAAATAAAAAATAAAAAATTAAAAAAGTGCTTGCGTCAACTGCGTCTATTATGACAAATGCGCTGACCTCAATTAGAAATTTGATCAGTTGTAAAGATGGATGGAAGTGAATAATTAAACAACGAATTAGTCACTACTTTAATAATCACTAAACGAAGATTAATGGCAGCGAGGAGATCTGAAATTTCTCTGTCATCACTAACCAAGTTCGTTTTGCATGTCTCGCGAGCTGTGGGCGATACGGAAGGCTGTGGCCTCGGTCGGTCGGTAAGTCACATGTCTTCTTTCTCGATACCTTCATTCCATACCTGTTTGGCCAACTGACGGTTTCTTCACCAAACGGTCGCCATCATTATAACTCAGCTTTATTCCATACATTTCCTAATAAACCATCCCTAGCATTCCTCTCCATGGATTCTATGAATATCATCAGTGTGTGAGAATTCCACTCAATTCGATTGAAATTTCGTTCCGATTGAATTCTAAATCATTGCGTAATTTCGAGTTCATGGTCCCTTGAAGATAGAATCGAGAATAACTACCAGTGTAATTGTCATCATTTCAATGTCGCTGCTATTATTTTGCAACGACTAAATCTCCTACCGTAATCGTGATAGTAGCGGATTTTCAGATGACAAAGTTAGGTGTTACACCAGGAGTTCATGGAGATGAAGAGAAGACCGATTCATCAATTGCCGAAGGCGTGAAACACGATTCGAAGGTTTGTAATTTAGTTTTTGAATGGTCGAGTAGAGTTGAATAGGTCGAATCTTTCATAGCTGGAATTTCTGAAACCTATTGGAACGTGTGTAATTGGATCCCATTCGGTCAGTAAATTTAAATTCTACGATTCTACGCTGTCTGCCAATATGTTCACTTACCATTATATGAAAATGACGGAGAATTAGGACATTAGGTGTCTATCTTGCTCATCGATCAATACCTTATTTGAACATTTGACGCAAATTAGTAGCCACAAATGATTTTCTTATAATCGATGGATCCTCCTAATTTTCAATGATTCTGAATAGTAGTGAACCTTGCAGGTGTTCACTGTACTGCAACCGACTATGATTCCGCTACCTGTGGCTGCTCCAGCGGTTTCCAATCGTCATACAACAGCAGCAATTCTTCTCAGAGGAATTATACTGTTCTTGTTGTTCGTCTCCTGCTTTACTGCTGGTTTGGTGCTGATCTATGGCGTCGACACTGTCTATGCCGGAATTTTTGGGGTAAGTAATGAAATTAAAGACTAAAGCATAAGTACAACTTTAGTGTAAGAAAGCGTAGGAACCTTGGCACATGTTCAGATTCTATCTTCATTTACTTTATTGTATAATGGACATGGTCATATCCGTTCTGAAGAGAAGTCTTTCGCATTGGATAGTAGAACAAAGCCGATGACGTTATAACATCTTTTAGACGTTAAGATTTTTCAGTTAACGGAATGTTATAAATGCACCAACGAATGCTTTACAGCGTCGTAAAAAGAAGTTTAGTGACAGAAACCACTCTGAAGAGAGTCGTGTCGAATCAAATGAACTTCCATCGGTTACCTATCAGTAGCCGATCACTGTTGGTTTTGCCTTGAGAAAACAAAAACTTGGCGTACCGTAATCCTTGCCAGGGAACTCTTCAATATTTAATAATAGCGGTGTAATAAACTTGTTTGATCAATAAGTTCACTCGAAAATATTAGTATTGGAGCAGATCGGCGCAAAGTGAACAAACGAATAATGTTGGGTGAACGATGTACTGGAAAAGTTAGCAAAAAAGTAAGGAACTCTTGCTGCAACTAGAAAGGGAAAAATTCTGACCTCCTATTAGAAAATATCTAGTGCTTGAAACTTCCAATGAAAATTTTGCAAATACGCTTTTTTAGTTATGACAGCTGTTTAGAAAATAGTGTTTTCATTGCACTAGTTATTATTAATCCTTATTCTTTCGTCGTTCATCGTTATTCCGCTTTCAACTCATCCCGCTTTGTAATATATAGCAAACTCTCAACATCTTGGTACAAATGAAGGTCCTTAATACTCTATTTCAAACGAAACAATTTAATACCTTGTTAAGAGTAAAGCAAAGGGCGCGTGTGGCGCAGTGATCGGAAGCGCCCTACAACACACGTGGAATCGGTCCACGCGCCCATGGCCCACCAAGCTTTCCATTTCTACGGGTTCGGTAAATTGTTACCAGACTTGTCTGGGAGGGTAGCGGCACTGGCTCGACATATCGATAGGCCACCGCGATCCATTGTAAAGTCTAGATACGCATTGAATCACCTCCAAACAATGCTTAATGAAGTCGAATGCATGGCGCATCCTTAAGGTATTGATCAGCGCTGAGAGCTTTTTAGTTTTGGAGCTTAAGAGTAAAGTAATCTTACAATAAGGGAGTGAAACGTTATATATTCTAAAGAAGTGCGAAACTAGAAACCTAACCAATCATAGAACGGCGTGGAAAATAAAATGCTATAACTGCTATTTTTAGACCTCCAGCACCGAGCAGAGTTCTGTGACAACTACGGTAGCTCCAATTGAGCCACTCAAATTGGTGAATCCAGTGGACAATGTTACGCCATCAATTCCTAAAGATGACAAGGCCGCCGATGGCGAGGTGAATGGCATTTAATAGGTTTCTATACTAAATGAATCCATATGAGTGAAAAAGTCTTTGCGGTGAATAAAGGTCATACACATCTGTTATGCTAACCCTTACGATGGATTTTTCTTCTTATAAACGTCCTCATTCACATTCATTTCGGTTAATGTAATGGTAATGAATGTTTTGGAATAATGTGTTATGACTGATTTTAGGTGAAAATCTTTTTGAACGCTATTCCTGTGGCTAAGGTGATGATGATCGAAGGTGGAAGTAGCAGCGAAGCAAAAGATTCCCAACCAAAGGATGTGAACGAACGACCATTACATCCGTATGAGCAGCAAGAAGTACGGAAAAATTACTACGGTATAAACCAAACGTCGCCAGTGTAAATGCGATCTATAAGTTCGTAGGACCTCATCCCTTGTCTAATTTTCAATTTTTGAAAAAATGGGGCAAAAATATCCCGAGACGATCGAAGGATAACTACTCAGCGTATAAACCGCTTTAACGATGAATGTCATCACATACATCCCAATAAAGGGAGGCAAAATCTACATAAAGAGTCACAGAAAACTGTCTTCTTAGCCATTGTATAGTTTGTTAAGGCTCCATTTGAAGCATTCAACAATAGACCAATGATAAATGTCATACCACACATAATTTCTCTACAAGCTAGACAAATGGCCTACAACCAAGTGAGTCCGACTAGATACGTTTTGTAGAACATCATCAGGAATATTCCATTGAAGGCATTACGTCAGTGGAGACTACGCAGACTACATCAGGCAATCTTCCAACAATTGATGAAGATGGCAATAATGAGGGCCGAATTTGCACAGGTATGTCATAATTTACAAGGAATTTACTGTAGAAGAAAAACATCGCGTAGAATTATCATTTTTGACGCTCTGTACTTTCTGCGAAGAATTGTTGATTTCTTCTGGAAGGCAGAAAAGCAGGAACTATCAGTGTTCCAGTCGTTCTTTCTGAAATGAAGTTAGCAAGACCTTCCGAATCAGTACTAAGAGACATGGCCATGGTCAATCCAAGCGAAGTACCTTATTGGATTGTCCGACCTCTCATGGTAAATATGAGTATTTTGTCCAGAGGGTTGAAACCATTTGAAAATCAGTTTAAAGGAAAAGGGATAAACTGAATAATTGAGACTTACTGGATGCTATGGACAAAGGTTTTTTCCAAACGCAAACTGAAACCATTCAATTTTACTTAAGCAAGCTCATGTTCAGATGGAATATGAACGCCGTGCAGCACTGGAGAGCGAGATAGCACGCTCTATTGCTCAAGCTCGCTGGGAACAAGCTCAGCGCGCTCGTGCAGCAGAAGAATACCAGGCACAGATGCAAAGGGCCCAATGGGCACAGGCACAGGCACAGAATTGGCAATCGGACAGAGCTCAGATGGCCCAATATCAGCAACAGCAACAACAGTATTGGCCGAATGCATGGTGGCAACGACAACAAACACAGCAGGTAAAGTTGACTAGATGTTGAGTTAGATGGTCTGACTTCTCGGGTGAAGCGATTCCGAGTACATCCTTCATTCACATTGTTCTTGCATGAAGGTTTCAATGGTGATTGCTTGTTTCGAGCCTGTCGATGTCTGGGTAAGACAGTTTGATATAATGGTATAATGTGGTTATATTCTTGGTGGCACATGACACGGACGTCATCATGTCGAAGGTATTTACTGATTAGTCAGATCAGAATAAAAGTCGACCATGACAGATGACTACTGAAATTTCACCAATTTTGATATTTTTGTTTTTATTTTATTTCATACGACCCTTCTTCACGTCTACTGTGCGGATCTGAGAAATTCCCAAATTCGATTCGTTTTCTCGCATCCATCTTCCACGAAATTTTTCCAACTTTCACGGGTGACTTCAACAGATGCTTGAGGATTCCATTTTGGGTGTCGTAAAATGCTAGTCCAGTCGATCCTCCCTTTAACCCTGAGATAGCTTGGCTGGAGCGCCCGGAAATGGATTATAGGAAGCAATTTTTTTCCAGGACAAGTCCGGTAGCAATTTACGGGCCCCAGAAGGACGAGAGGTTTGATGAACCTCGAGTGGGATCGAACTAAAACCATGCTCGTGATAATCGGCATCACTACCACTGTCCTACGCGCTTCCTAATTTTGATATTACCATTAAAAATATGGCGAGGAAGGATATTTCCACTGAAAGTGAAATATATTTGGATAGTTGGATGCTTGGACGACTCGTCCTCATTGGTTATGCGGGCCCCAGCATTATCTCCATTTTTTCGAAGCTTCACTGGTTTAGCCATTGTGGTTTCCTGGAGTCACGTGGTCAGCCTGGCTAAAGTCTTCCTTAGGTCTTCACCACCACAGGCAGTCGCAGCCCTTGTGGATCAGAGGGAGATCTGCCACCATGCGACTAGTTTGATACCCTGGCGGTGGCGAATCCTGGTATTGGTTTGCTTTTAGATGGGCTTCCTGGTGGAAACGCCGAACTCCTTCTTAGCTTGGTAGGTGCTGCCAGGGGCCATGAACCCCCTTCCCCCGCTTTACATCGAAGCCCGACACCCAGGACCCAGTCACGATGAGGCGGTAAACCGTTGGGAGGGAAAGTGAACCGTAGCGTTGGAAAATTTTTTCAAAATTTGAGTTCTAGCTTATAAAGATGGTCGTAAGTTGCAAAGGTTCTTATAGTATGGAGTGATAAGAACAATAAAAAGTCAAAGATAATTTTTTGAAATAACATAAACTTGTGACGGATTCTTTCATGTTTAGCAATACTTCAACAATCCACGTGCTGCGCAGCAATGGTACTACTACCCACAACAGCATGGTGTTTACTATCAACAACAACCACAGCAGCAGCAGCAGCAGCAGTTCCCACAGCCGCAGCCGTTGCAGTACCAATACTACCAATTTCCGGTAGGTAATGAATCCGTCAAAGGCAGCGGAACGTCATAAAAGTATAACTTTCAATGATGCTGAGATATTTGCAAAGGTCCGGACCACAGGTATCTGCGGTGGGAAACGAACGCGCTATTGTTCTTTCCGGGGAGTATTGCGTCCACCACTAAACCTAGCGGATCCTTCGTTTCCCCTGTCTCTCAGCTAGTTCTATCTATTTCGCAATATACCCTGACTTTAAAAAGAATAGGCAGTAAATAATAAGTTAAAATTGTGATCATAAGAAATAGTTGGGGACATATTAATGCTATAGAAATTTAGAAGTTAAAAAAGAACAACAATGCTGTATTAAATCTTGTATTATAATACGTATGGGGTCTTTAATGAAGCTTTGTAAGATCTTCTACGATTATCTATAGAACATCACAAAGTCTTAGCTTTTGATTACTGCTTATTCCCTTTTTTCGTGGCGGGAACTATTATATTAACTATTATATTAATTGATTAATTAAATTAATTACTTAGAAAGGTTTTACGGATGGCTTATTCTTTAACTTGTCGAGCCTTTCAACGTTCTGTGTGAGACAAAATAGGACAGTTTCTATCAGTTAACCACGACGACACGCCACGACTCATACTGAACAATTTGCCTTCCTTCTTATTGTCCTATGCGAATTCTTTCCAGATTACCTTTATCATCTCTTACACGAATTCCTTTAAAGTCATTGTGAAAGCCTCTCCACTGTTTATATCCGAGCTCCGTTGTTCCGTTTTCCATGGTGTCTGGATATGTTAAACCCTTCTACAACGACTCTTATCCACAGCTAATAACATAAACCTTACTGGAAATCTTCATCATAAAACTAAACACCATGAATACACTGCTTGATTCCGATATTTGGTGTCGCCGACCAGCTGGACAACGGAAACTGCTACCACGTCAGTCGACACCAGTCTTTCACGACAAGCTTTTTCTCTGCAGTTAATGATATGTAAGGAATATCGTTAACACTCTGATCTGATTGTTCTCGTCTGAAACTATTCAAGTTTAAAAGTTGTTCTGCGCACCAAGCATAACCATTTTTTCCCTCTATAACGATGGTTATTTACGGGTTACAAAAATGACTCGTCAAACTGTTGTGGATCCTGATCAGCAAGACCAATCATATGTGGCCCATTCTCCGTTTTGCCTTTTTGTATCCATCCTATGATTACTATAATTCTGTGCCAATAATAGGCACCTGTTGTACACCTTCTTTCACGATTTTAAAAGTTACTGAAAAAAGAAAGGCATTACCTATTTCACCGTATCGCGACCTGGATTCAAACCAAATTGTGCCGAGCAGGCTAGTCATGCGCCAGGTATATGGAACGTGCTGGTACGGTAATTACAGTGCAGGCCAAAACTGTGTTCCAATAAAGCTGTGTGAAATAGTTGAACAAACCTTTTGTTGCATTATTTTCTTCATAAACACATCAAGTAATTGCATAAGGAATACATTTCTCTTGAAACTCCTACTGTAGTTTCCCTTTGCATTTTTTGTTTTGTCTATTTTACTAATCTAATTTTGTCTAATTTTTACCAATTTTACTTAACGATATAAAGTACATAACCTTTGTTTCCAGATTCCAGGTTATTGTTTCAGTAACCTATGTGTTTAGATACCTATGCGACCACATGATGCTTCGCCAGCCCAGATAATCTCCATGCAACAACCGACCGTACCACCTGCACCAGAAATGGCGATACACGACAAAATCTATCAAGAAATGCAGGTTTGCTGCTAAAAGGTGAGCTTAGATCTGTTTCCATAGCTGTAGTACGTCTTGTTTCAGAAGAAATCACAAGGAATGGACTTCAATGCGCCATCAAAGCCAATCTGTGAGTATTTCACTGTAGTCGTCCGACAAGATACCGTAGTGGTTTTTACGCTAAGAACTCATACTAATCCTTCTTTCATTATGATTTTAAGATCCAGCTGTCCTAGTTATGTCATATATGATACCTCTGACCATTTGTCTGTTGCGTGAGTATTATTCCCTCATCAATCATCGAACGGTCATATCGGGACTATTCGAAACTCGGACGTGAGAAAACGCCACTTACCACAATTGCATCCCAGCCTTCTCGTTTTTAAACTACCAACTGATTCATTCATTAAAAGCATCATTAAAAGTTATATTTCTCAAAATATACCCTGCCGTTAAAAAATAGTAGGCAGTAAATAATAAGTTAGAATTACTAACTGATTCTTATTAGAAATTACGAGATAGATTACTGACGAACCGTAATTCGAAGACCAGAGCTCAACAGGATGTTAAGACGTTCTCTGAGGGTTAAGAGTGGTTCACGTAATATTTCTTTCTAAAGAGAATAATGGTTCGGGTTCAGGGACGGCAATCACTCCTACTCCCGAAACTCCTTCAGCAAACTACGACCATGACTCAATTTTCCGAGAGAATCTACAGAAAATTAATGAACAGTCAGCAACCACTACCACCGTCTCTCCGACCTCTGAAAAAGTCGCTGAAGTTAAGCCGGTTGGTCGATTCTTCTATTCACCTCCTAAGTAGAATGAGGCCTACTTTAATAAAGGATAAAAAGGATAAGGCTTTTAACGTTGATCAATGTTTGAGGGATTGCTATACATTCGACTATATTCGTAGCATCGTAGAGGTGATTGAATGCATATCTTGCCTAAACAATGACTTACAGTCGTGTGCCGGTGGACTTAGTCGGTCTTTTCACTTTTCTAGACTGGTTTGGTATAAATTTTCAAACTCCGAAGGGACGCAGAGCTTGGTTACCCTGGAGAAAAAGCTGAACCAACGACCATGTGTGCACTAAAGAGCACCTCTTTGCACTCTGCGTCGCGTGCCCAAAACCTTAATCTACTGGAAATGTTTTATGAAAAAAAAGAAAAAACAAACTGGACGACGTTATGATTAGAACGTATTTCAGATGGATGGCGAGAACATGTTCCGTGATATTCTCTCGGTTTTTGACGAAGCTGAAAAGGGCGAAACGACGGTAGAGGCATTTTAAGCTGGAAAATCTTTTAAATTCGATTACTTCTACAGGAACGGATCCTAACACTTGTAGTTATAACGTAGCTCATTGTATAGCTTCTGAATATTGTGGAAAAAGTGGTACACTGTACGATCCTATACTTTGTTGTCATACAATGATTTCCTTCAGCCTGCCAGCACCACAGAGAACATCTTCAAAGAATTTGGTGAAGAGAAATTGATTTCTACTGAGGTACCGCTCTAGTCTTGAGTGTAGTAACTGCAAACACATCAGTACAGTATTGAATAACCATTTTAGATTCCAACAACCGAGAAAGAAACAGTCGATCGTGTTGTCGATAGTGCTGCGCAGGTCAGTAAAAAATCTCTTTATCCAATCATATTTTCTGCTATCTCGTTATAATTGTAAACAAAAAGAGCTGAAATCTGTCCGAGCATTTTGCAAAATAATTGCCACCATAACGATATTTTGCTCTGTGCTCAAATCCAGGGCCCGTGTAGCGTAGTGGTCGAAGGCGCCCTACAACACACACGTGGAATCTCCACGCCCATGGCCCACCAAGCCTTCCATCCCTCCGGAGTCGGCAAGTTGGTACCAGACTTGTGTAGGAGGATAGTAGCACTGGCTCGTTACGTCGATAGGCTACCACGAGTCATCGTAAAGGCCAGATATGCATCCAATCATCTCCAAACGATGCTTAATGAAATCGAATGCATGGCGGACCCTCGGGGATTGAACAGCGCCGAGAGCTTTTTTTTAGAGAGCTCTAACCTAGGGAGGGAACGTAAAGGAGGCGAACACACTATATTTGATAGATAAGCTGTAGGACTAAAAAAATTCACTTGTGGCTATATTTACATTTTCATGTCGACGCTACTACCGAAAATATCTTCAAAGAAGTGGATAGTCAGAAAAACGAGGCTGTCCAGGTATTTATTTAAAAACTTTAGTAAACCATTAAAAATGTTGCTGGTGTATTTTAGTTGAATACAGCGCAACATACTTTTCTGTGACTGGCTTAGTGTTCTATTTGAGCTAAAATGAAATTTCAGATTCCTGAAGGAGAAAGCGAAGAGATCCAGTTAGGACCAGTTGTGGTTGAAGATAGTTTCCCACGAATTGATGACAGAACAACCATCGCCATCGAGGTTCCTATTCTTTAAGCTTGGCAGTATTCAGATGAATGTTTATTGACTTTTCGGTAGCTCAATATTTCCAAAACACCGTAATAATATTTATTTCTTGCATTTATGCAAAATTTCTCGTACTAAATAATCAAATCTGAGGTTTCTTCAGGCTTCGACCGCTCTACCACGCAGCGAAAGTGATGAAGTATTGGAACACGATCCTCTCGCTGCTTTCCTGAGGTCGGTTGTGTTCTCGTTCCGATAGCGACTGTAGTAAGACAAAGAGGTGACGTAAGCGGAACCGAACAACCACGTTGTTGTCTGTTCTTTCCTTTCTGCTTTGTCTTTTTGCAGTCACGTATCATCTTTCCGGTTTCTTGCTAGTTATGATTCTTAAACTGCTTCAATTCTTTCAGGTATTTCGAACAAGAGGCGCAAAAAATAAATTCTGCTAAGGCTGCAGCACCGGCCATTGTAGACAGCCAAGTTCAAAAGGATGATCCAAAAGATGTGGGTAATACTGCTTTTATCAATATCATCAAAATTTTATTTAATAGTTAGCACTTAAAGAGAATTCTTTTAAGCGACAAGAAAAAGTACTTTGCCATTGTACTATTTCTTTACTTACTTGGTTAATTGAGTACGCACTCTTCACTGTTTGTACGGTTCCCAGCAGAATCTCCATTTTCGGAGCTTTGCTGGTTTACCCACCTTATTTCCTTAGAGTCTCGAAGTTACCCTAGCCAAAGTCTGCCCTAGGTCGTCACCATCACAGGAAGTCTCACCCCCTGTTGATCAGCGGGTTATTTGCCACCATGCGACTAGTTTCATGCCAGGACGGTGGTCGATCCTGCTATTGGTTTACTCTTAGCTGGGTTTCCTGGTGAAAACGCCGTACTGCTTCCCAGCTTGGGAAACCGTGCCGAGGGATGAATCCTGCCTCTGCACACCCCAGCCCGACATCCATGAACACCTCTCAGCCCACGATGAGGCGGTTAACCGTTGTGGTGGACAGCAGGGGGTGCTTTTCTTATAGGAACATGTAATTACTTTTCAATGCGGTGAAAAAAGTTTCTGAAACATTACTGACGGCCTTCTTGGTTAGAAGTGATACAATGCGGCAGACGAAGATCTTAACCTACCTACTTTACTAGCTTTCGAAGGGATTGTGCAGTCAATGATTGAAAGCCTGTCGCGTAATCTTCAGTGAATTCCAGGACCAACCAGCGGCCGTCGATGAACCTGAACCACACTTCCAAGAATTCCAACACGCACCTCGACTTGTTACTGTTTAATTGCATGAATTTTCGATCAGTAAAAAACCATTGTGGTGGTAAAATGGTATAATATGTTAAGCTGTTGAAGTCGCAAATATCCTATCAGTTATTGCCTAGTACTATCTGAAGCTCCCTGTTTGACTTAACACTGAATGAATAACGATCACAAATCACTAAGTAGTACGAAGCTGCTTCCTGTTGTGATATTGGCTCAATCCCGATGATGATATATATAGCGATGCTGATATGTTGTAAATAAACAGTTAACTTTATTCCTTGTAGACCTGATCAATCAATAAACCTTGACAGAGTGCGAGCACCTAATAAGGTTAACAAATTCACAGAGAGAACTTATTAAATCCACTATAGACCATGGTGCACTGTCCGAAGCCACAACAGCGGACTGCGGATATAAGTGCACTAAAAGGCTACGGACAGTCTTCTTTTCTGTATTTTCGATATAATTAGTGATGACTCTATTCACTCCAATTGCAAATAATTTCTGAGCTTGTAGTTTTCACATTTCCTTGAAGAATTGGGTCATGAAATAAAGTCTCTTTTGGCTTTCACGAGATGTTTCGCAATACGCCTTGAACCACACCATTGTAGATACTAATTTTATTCCTCAATTTCCCGATGATTGGCTACCTCATGTACCACACAGTGTTTCTTTGCTTCTGCATCAAGGATAAAGGATAAAGTTCTCGGCGTTGATCAATCCATGAGGTATACTCAATGCGTTCGACTTCATTAAGCATCGTTTGGAAGTGGTTAAATGCATATCTGGCCTTTATGATGACTCGCGGTGGCCTACCGATGTTTCGAACCAGTGCTGCTATCCTCTCAGACAAATCTGGCACCAATTCGCCGACCCTGGATGGATGGAAGGCTTGTTGGGCCATGGACACGGAGATTGTTTTCACGTGTGCGTGGCCGGGCGCCTCCAACCAGTGCGCTGCGCGCGCCCTGCTTTTGCCTAGTCGGAAATAATTTTATACATGCTTAATTGTTCACCTATGACTAATATTTGCTGCTGTTGTTTTTGTTGTTGTCGCTGCTGCTGCTGTTGGCCGAGGCTGTAATGCTAAACGTGTAGTTGTATGAGCCCGAGACTTTACTCACCTTCATTTGATACGTCATAATTTGCCGACATAGTCTTATTCCACTTTCAGCTGCTCCTTAACATGCATTTTGCAGTACTTGCCGAGTCTTAAAAACAAATCTTCTCGTTAGTTTGATCGCTTAAGATATCTTGAATGAAAAAGCTAACTGTATAGTTCTTAGAAACACACCTACATTCTCCTCGCACAACTTACCGTAGATGAAATCGCGCATTGCTACTATCGTTTCGTAAAAATGCCTTCATGCAGTCATTAGTAAGCTGCTATTGTGTATCTAAATAAATAAGCGCAATAGCTTTTTATTTAAAAAGCTGAGCAGAATTTCGATTCATAGCAACGGTTTCTGCATCTCAATCTTCCACTGCCCCACATGCGGCATTAGGAACGTGCTAGAAGGTTTGAACTTAATAAAACTATGTCTCAACTTTTATGTACTGCCTAATATTTTTTAACATAGGGTATAGTGTAAAGTACAATCAAAAAAATGCTGAAAAATGAACAAAACTGGGAACGAGAGTGACTTAGAGAAAAGCGAGCCTTGGTTCCTTTGGTAAGTATCATTTGAGCGCCGGGTAGCAGTAATCGGTGGCTTAAAACTCAGTGAGATGCCATGCTTTCCACGTACTTTAACATCCTTGTGGTTAAAATCGCTTAGAAATTCTGAAAACCCTCGTACTCCTTACACGTGAATGTCGTGGTTTTCTTTGACTTTGGCACAAGGTTTCTGGAGATGACTGTCACCTCTGACGGTCGTTATGATCGTCTCCTGTTCTGACATGGTTCCAGTAACGCGGCATCGTCAAGGCAATTATACGATAATCTTCTAATTATACCTGTCAAGCAACATCAGCTGAATGTTGGCTATAATTCTCATCGGCCAAAGCTTGCCAGCCAAAAACGATGTGTGTATACAGCCGCATTAAGCAACTGAGCAGAAGTATTCAAGTTACTTAGGTAAGTTTGCAACATAGCTCTCCGTTATGCTTCAAAAGACTAAGTCTATTTACACATCGTATCCACACTTACCGCCTTCATTTAATGTGGTAAACACAAATCTTTTTGGAGTATTGTGAGCACCAGACCTGTTTTTGGACAAATTCATTATCTATGTATCACAACGTATTAATCAGTTCACGTGTTCAAAAAGCATCCGTAGAGATCATGGGTGCCAGTAACGACAAGGAGTAAAATTTTAATAGTGACACACTTTAAATGCTAGATACTTGCTTTACGACTTGGGCAGTTGATTGACCCAAGTCCACTAGTTGGGGGCTCCAGCATAATTTCCCTTCGCTAGTCTCCTACACAGTCGTCGTCTATGGTGGTGGCTTGATTCGAATATGGTGGCGTCCGCGAGGTCTATTTCGAATTCCTAAAAGCGTTTCCAACTACGAATGCGGATGGTCAACGTTAGCCGCAGACACGTTCACCCACCGTTTAGATGGTCTTCCTTGAGGGCCTATGCATTCTATTGGAGTGCAGTCCACTGTTAATCTGTCACCCTTTCTTTTTATTATGCAACCGGTATATCTGTGTTTCCTTATCCATACACATTTTCTTGGTTCCCGATGATAAGATAGGTTTCAAGGATCTGAGCAGCGTATTCCGGCTAGACGTTTTCAGCGCCTCTTAGGGTCATTGCTTAAACGCTATGTGTGTGTGACAGGCAGTTTCTTGACGTGACGTGTATCACGCCACTTTTTTGGGGTATAACAGAGCACACAGAGGACTGAATCGAAAAGTGGAGTTTGTGTCTATTTTGTGCTGATCGTTGGCTTCTTTGAGAGGCCCGAATGCCGCCTGTGCTGCTTACCTTCTTCTAAGTTATTCTTTCTTCATATTGTGCTTCATGTTAATTGGATGTCGAAGGCACACATATGACGTGGTAGCCCCTACAATCACTGAACCATGTAGTTCGACTTGTTTGCCTTCGCATCATGACTTCTTCGTTAACTGTGTCTTGCCCCTATTTATGCGCAGTCCAGTCTTTTTCCCCGTTTCGTTGAGCTCATTGCGCATCGTCTGTACTTCACTCTTACTACTCGAAAAGATGACCATGAGATTCGTGAAACAAAGATTTGTAGGGATTTTCCATCAGGGCGAATACCCTGCTCGTCCTAATCTAGTGGCTTTGTTATCCACTACAGGCAATAAAAGGCTTTGGCGATATTGTGTCGCCTTGTCCTATTCCTATGGGTATAGCGAGGGGTCGATGAAAAATCTGCACATTTCTGCTGCAGTTTCGATAACAGTCTGATAGGGTTCGTATGGAGAACTGGTCCACTAATAGTCGATGAGCGCTGGTAGGATTGCATTCGTTTCGACGCTGTCAAACGCTTTCTCGTAGCCAATAAAGGTTAGGATAATAAACAGATGAAACCTCCGACGGGCTTATAAAACTTGTGATAAAGTTCGGATGTGATCCATGCAGCAACATCCTCGTTGAAATCCTCCGCCTGCTTAACTGGTTTCGCCTCAGCTCATATCCTTGATATGCGGGGTAGGATAATCTTCGTTAAGAGCTTGAAGAAAACAATCAGTAGGTATATTGGACGGTAGTTACAAAGATTCCTTTGGTCACCCTTCTTGGGTAAGATAACCGATCGTGATTATTTCTTCAAGGATTTTTTGTACAATTCAAGGAGCACCTAGGGCTTCCTTGGTGGTACCTGTCTCAATTGCATAGGACGCCCCTTTTCAAATCAATAAAAAAGAGACAGACATCTCTATCAACGTACTCGCCAAAAGCACAATACTCAGAATCGCCTTCAATTATTTAGTGTTTTATTCCTAAGAAAACACGAGGTTGTTGGTTACAATATTCACTCAATAACGTCTCAGATTTCGACGCTTTCGCTTTCTTCAGAGCCTGAAATGGTCAAGCTAACACGCAATCTACCCAGACTACCCAGACAAACACTTTCATAACAAACGCATAGCAAACAGGTTCTCTTATACACTCACCGTTTTATTTCTTATTAGTCTTTCACATGTATGGGTGTATGGGTAGCTTATGTGACATTAAAGTATCAGTCTTAAATATTGTGTGAGATCAAGCACTCCTCCTTGCGGTTCGTTTTTAGATTCTTGGCATTTATCCGGAATGCTTAGAGTTTTGCACTGTGGTGTTTTCGATTCTTCAAGATTTCTCCCATTATTTCTCCGTGTCCTATGCACACCCAGTGGAATGCTAGGTTTAACTTTAAGTCTACCGACCAGGTGTTCTTTTGTAGGGATCAACAGTAGTGTACCCGCTTTGACCACATATTCTTCCTCAAATGGTGCAAGAAATTAGGTACACTGTACCCGAAGTCATGCAACTCAACTCACCGTTATATTCTTTGTAAGATCTTCAGTTATTTGCAGCAGACCGGTGGTTGCACAGGGTGTTAGATGGGCGAGAAACATACCTGGCTGGAACCAAAAAACCGGGTAGAGGAACTGCCTTGATAGTCGGTAGTCACCTCAAGTCGTTCTGCAGGTCCAATGTGTATCCAATCATTCTAAAGATGCTTTATAAAGGTATACGTCAAGGATTAATCAATACAGGACGCTTTGCCCTTTATTACCTGTGGTTAATGTGGATTTCACTTATCACGCTCTCCTCGATTACACTGTTGACTAATCGCAGAGTAGAGTGCGATGACAGGAATCACTGTCGTATCGGAAGAATCAGGGTTGCAAGACAGCAAATTTCTCTTTAATTTGCAAGAGCGAGAAACGGCTTGATGTGATGGTCTGAGAGCATCATATCGCAGCTAATTCTGATTTCCAGAAAAAATCGTGATTGGCCAACATTCAACGTTTAAACAAGTAGCGCTCGGAACTGGTTTTCCGATAACTAACGATAATCTACTAAATAAGTAAAGTATACGAAAAGTTGTTAACTTGTAAAGG